GAAATTTCCAACAATGAACTCAAAAGAACAATGATAAGAATGACCAATAAAATTAAAAAGGATCTGCATAAACACATGAATGAATTCATGGAGATACAAATAAACAGCAAGATGTGGAAGAGGAATCCAATAAAGATATAGAAATCCAGAAAAAAAAATCAAGTTGAAATCCTTGAAATGAAAAACTCAATAGCTCACATAAAAAACTCAAGTTAAAAGCCTTGTTAATAGAATGGATCAAGTTGAAAACACAATACCAGGGCTAGAAGATAAAGTATAAGTTAGATCAATTAGACAAAGAAAAAAAAAACACTAAGAAAATAAGAGTGAAACTTGAAAGCCTTCTTGGACACCATTGAAAAACCAAACCTATCAGTCATAGGTATAGAAGAAGGAGAAAAGGTACAAACTAAGGGAATAGATAACATTCAATAAAACAATGGCAGAAAAATTCCTCAGTATTGGGAGAGGGTCTTCCAGTTACAGGATACTTTCAAAACACCCATCAGGCAAGATCAGACAAGAAACACTCCCAACATGTTATAGTTAAGACACTACATATACAGAACAAAGAAAGAATATTTAAGCTACAAGAGAAAGGCAACAAGTCACATAAAAAGGCAAATCCATCAAAATAACAGCAGATTTCTCAACAGAAATACTAAGAGCAAGGAAAGCATAGAATGATATATTCCAAGCCCTGCTGGAAAATAACTGCCACTTACATTATTGTATATAGCAAAGCTTTCCTTCATAATTAAAGGAGAAACAAGAACCTTCCACAATCAACAAAACTAAAGGAATTCATACTTAAAGGAGAAACAAGAACCTTCCACAATCAACAAAACTAAAGGAATTCATGACTACTAAACCAACACTAAAGATATTTAAAGGAATCCTACACACAGAAGAGGAAGATAAACACAACCAGAAAAATACAGGAAAGAATAAATCCCACTAGACAAGTAGATTAGCATCCAACTTTATAAAACAAACACTCTTGGACTTATAAGAACAGATAGACCCCAATACAATGCTAGCAGGAGACTTCATTACCCCATTCTTATGAGTAGATAAGTCATTCAGAACCCCCACAAAAAAGTCAACAAAGAAATTTCAGAACTAATCAGCATTATAGACTAAATGGACTTAACCATCATCTGTCATCCAACAGCTGTACAGTTCACATTTTTATTAGAAGCCCGTGGAATTTTCTCCAAGATCATATTTTAGGACATAAAGCAAGTCTTAATAAATATAAGAATATTGAAATAACCTTCCACAATGGAATAAAACTAGAAGTCAACAGCAAAAGAAACTACAGAAAACATTAAAACACATGGAGACTGAACAACACACACTGTTGAAAGACCAATGGGTCATTGAAGAAATAAAGCGGAGGGGAGGAAATAAAAAAAATTCCTAGAATCCAGTGAAAATGAAAATATCATTCTTTTTGATATAGCAAAGGCAGTGCTAAGAGGAAAGTTCAGAGCTATGAGTGCCTACATCAAGTAAAGAGAGATCTCAAATAAAAAACCTAATGCTATACCTCAAGCACCTAGGAAAACAAGAACAAAACAAACCCCAAATAGCAGATGGAGAGAAATAATAAGTATCAGGGCAAAAATTAATGAAATGAAGACTAAATAACAACACAAAGAATCAATGAAACAAAAAGTTGGCTCTTTGAAGAAATAACTAAGATTGATAAGCCCTTAGCTAAACTAATGAAAAGGAGGAAAAAGACCCAAATTTCTAAAATTAGAGATGGAAGGAAATATCAAAACAAACACTAACACAATTCAGGATTTCAAAAATTATATTCTAATGTTCCAGTAAACTGGAAAATCTAGAAGAAATAGATAAATTTCTATATGTATTTGAACTACCAAAATTGAACCAAAAGGATATAAATCATTTAAACAGATCTATAACAAGCAATGAGAATGAAGCAGTAATGAGTCTCCCAACAAAGAAAAGCCCAGGATTGAATAGATTCACTGCTGAATTCAACCAGACCTTTATAAAGATCTAACACCAATACGCCTCAAATTTTCCCATAAACTAGAGAGGCAAGTAATACCACCAACCTCAGTCTATGAAGCAAGTATTACTCTGACACCAAAATCTGCCAAAGAGACAACAGAAAAAGAAAATTAGAGACCAAGAAAACAAACAACAAATGCTGGTGAGGATTCAAGAAAAAATAGGAACCCTCATATACTGTTAGTGTGAATGTACACTATTACAACCATTATGGAAATCAGTATGGAGGTCGCTTAAAAAACTAAAAATAGGCCTATCTTATGATCTCGGTATCCCACTCTTGGGCATGTATCAGGAGTATAAATCAACATACAAAAAAAGATTCTTGTACACTCATTTTTCCCACACCACTACTCACAATAGCCAAGCTGTGAAATCAACGTAGGTGCCCAACAACTGACGAATGGATAAAGAAAATGTGGAATATAAACCCAATGGAGAATTATTCAGCCCATGAGAAAACGGAAATTATGTTGCATGCAGGAAAATGGATGAAACTGTAGACCATCATGTAGAGACAGCCAAGCTCAAAAAGACAAACATTCCGTGTTTTCAATCATGTGGAATCTAGATCTAACATCAACATGGTGATGATGAGATGATGATGATGATAACAGGATATGAGCATAAAAGGGGGGCTGTCTGGGAGGAGGAATTAGGAAGGGAGAGGAGAGGTAGTGGGCAAAGGAAAGGGTTCTTGGGGGAGAAAAGGATTGAAGTATGAAACATACATATCTCTATAGATAGATATGAAGATAGATTGAGATATAGATAGATGATAGATATGAAGATAGATTGAGATAGATATAGATAGATGATAGATAGATAGATATGAAGATAGATTGAGATAGATATAGATAGATGGATAGGTAGATAGATATGAAGATACCATATTGAGACTAAACACTGTTTTAAAAGGAGGGGAGAAGAGGGTTTGAGGGAGTATACCAGAGGGCGGTGAACTTGTTCAGAGTACATTGTATGCCTCTGTGGAAATGTCACAAACCCCTTTGTAGAAATAATGTATGCTAATTTAAAAAAAGGTATCTGGCCATGGATTTTTTAGGAATCTCAAGAAAAATGCTTCTCTGAGTGAACTAGTGAGTGTGGTGAACACATATAAGGTTGTTGTTGTATTGATGGATTGTATTGTGTTAAAGTATGAAAAATTGTTGAAATAAGAAGTATTAGCTAGTGTGTGTTAGCACTTAGAAGCCAGCCAGTGTGTGACAGGCTGATATGCTAATAAGCCAACCCTAAGGTGACAGTGTGGATAACAGAAGTGGTGAGGTCACCACAGGGTGTATAAACTCAGGACAGAACCCAAAGCCTCCTTGCCCAATGGAGACCACGCTGTCAGAGTCCACCCGAGACCCTGATGTAGAGGCAGCTGCTGCTTGTGAGCGCACCCCTTCTACCGACGACCACTGGGTGTTGCTGGTGAACCGTGAACTGGACCTGCACTGAAGGCGGCTGTGAGGATCCCCTGGGACGCAGCTACAACCCCCTCATCGGCTGGGGAGGGAGACTTGGGGGAAGGTCGGAGTAACTCCTGGCTGGCTAGGGTAGCAGAGACAGGCATTAGAATCCATGGGAAAGTGCCGTGTGAATTTGTTTGAATAAAAACCCTGTTCTCTGAAATAAGAGTCTCCTGAGTACTGTCTCTGTACTCAATTGAACCAATAAGTGCTCGCGACAGTGAGTCTTAGCAGTCAGCTCAGGATAAGTAACATTTGAGGTTTATGTTTGGGTCTTTAAACTAATGCACAAGTTCCACTCAAAAACACAAGAAATAACCATTTGCAAAATGGACTGGGGGTGTGGGAAGACAATGATTTAAAAATAAAACCCATAACAGTGACTTGTGCTTTAAACAAAACCCACCAGTGGTTTTAAAAATCCTACCAAAATTTAGAACACAAATAACTTTGTTATTCACATGCTAAGTGATATAGTTGTAAGGATATTCATAACAGCTTTTAAAATAACAGCAAAAGATAATACATTCAGAGGACTAGCTAAATAAACTAGCTGCATAATAATAGAACCCATGCAGCCTTTAAGAAAATGGAGGGGTGTTGACATGGAAAGACTCCTAAGATAGATTTATTTTAAAACAGGGTAAGTGTGAAGAATATGCCATTACTTCTGCATCGAAAAATACATTATGCAATTGTATTTGTAAATATATGAGCATTTCCAAAAAGCTAGGCCAACCTTGTTATGATAGCTGCCTGTGGAGAGAGGTTGGTAGAAAGGAAAGGCAGATTTTGTTTTGTTTTGTTTCAAGTGCACATATTATATACTCAAAAATTTCATTACAAACATCCTCTTCTCCCAATAAATACATTTGTCTTTGAGGTTTAGGGGTGTAGTTCAGTGAAAGAGCACTTGCCCAGCGTGTCCTGGCTTCAATCCCTGGCACCACAAAAAGTTAATGAAGTATCTTTGTGTCTGTTGTAACACATCAATGATGAAAATGCATTTTTGTCAAGGTAGTTAATTCTTAGCAGACTTGGACTTTTCTCTCTCTCAATGGGACACCTGGGTTCTGTTACCTGTTATCATTTAAATGTATAATATAGGTTGGGTAAACCACCTATGTGGCCCCAGATTCTTCATTTGAAAATGATGGACTTAGAGTAGAGATGACTCCCCAAAATATTTTTGGTCTAAGATGCCATACTTATGACCCAAGTAATGCAAACAAACACAACCCAATGAACGGCAAAGAACTTGGGCATGTCAGGTGGTATGTCTTGGTAATATGACGAAAATAACTCTACACTAACTACTATTTCATGTGCACTTCCTTCTCTAGCCACACTTCCAAATTCCCCTTTCATTTCTACTCCATTCGCCTTTGAAGTACCCAAGGAACAATGAAAGAAGCAGATTCAACTGAAGAAATTTATTTACTTTTTTTTCTAAGTACATAGATGACATAATTATAGACAAGCTTTGATACATAGGAAAACCCTTCTGTCCACCTTTCTTTTTTTCTAAATGAATCATCACAATAATTTTTTTTTACAAGTTTTAAGACAATACACAGCTTTGTTGGGCTGAAGCAATTGCAAGAACATATTGGTACCGGTATATTACAGCTACTTACAATGTTTAAGAACAGCAATGGAGAAAAATAAGTTATTTAAATATTGATTTCATATACAGAAAGTGCAATGTTGTTAGTTGTTATATAACTTGCTCAACAGCTTGTTTTCTCTATCAATTTAAAATCAAGATAACTTGGACTCAGACAATTTTATTTTTTTTCTGAACATGATACAGTACACACGCAGCAGTGACTTGGTAAGCTGACCCTTTTGCTGCAGTTCTGAAAGCAAATTTGGCTGTCTCAGGGACTGAATTCTAACAGACAACTCATTTCCAATTTTAGTCACACCTGGGTTTAGGACAGAGAAAAAGGCCTTCAATAAGGCAAGACCGTCAACAGATATTTGCTTTCAGTGTTCTGGGAATGTAAATTGTAGTTGGGACCAACTGCATTTCCTTCCAGATTGCTGTTTCATAAAAATTACAAACAACATTCTGTGTAGCTACCTGAGCTGAACTGCCTTTCCAGGTTTCTCTTGTGCTTTCCAAAAACAACAATTTTCACTGTCACTCAAAATTCTGTACCAAATAACAACTGATTAAAACTGGGTATTGCTAAAACCTACCACCTGTGCACTAACGGCCACAGGCAGCCCCAAGCCACCTCAGTCAGATGCCACACACAAGCATTCGGGCTTTTCTCAGACCAAATTAAAAGTTTAAAGCAAAAGAAGACCAAACAAACACTAGATATAAAAACAAAATTTAAAAAATAAAGCAAAAACAACCTCATAGCCCCCTCAGATCAGACATTCTCACTACAAATTAGGCGTGGTTCCCTGAATTTAATCTTCCATGCAAAGGCAATGATTTCCAGAGTAATAAAAATATGGTTTGGCATTGTCAAAACCTCTGGTGCTAGTTTTACTTAAATAAAAACTGGACACTGAGGATGAACTAATACTTGGAAATTTACATGAGATTTCTCCTTCTTCTTCGTGACCTCTAGACTTGTTGTGTAGTCTCTTTGCTCAACTAAAATCACCAGCAGGACCTGGTGGAATGTCAAGCAAGCCGAGGTACTTCAGAAGCAAGAAGAGAAGCTTGTTTTACAGCACCCACCTCCGCCATAGCACAGATCTGCTTGACTGCTGTAACTACCAAGAGCCCTGCAAACTCCTACATTCCAAAATGACAAAACTGAGCTCCCTTTTAAGAGATCAACAGAAATTGGGCAGCTTTACTTTTTTATTCTGAATTTCCACAACTTCTTCCCATGGTATCTCACAGAAGGTGAACGTAAGTGAAGAAACATACATTTATTTTCAAAACTTCATACCAAAGCATGAAAAAAATACACCTGAGAATGAGAATGTCCTTTTCCTCAGAGACATGAATCCGAATGTACAAAGCATATATTAAAGATGGCTTTGTGATGCATGAAATCTCTTCTTCCCACTCCCCTGAGGGAAGTCTTTTGTTTTAATAACTAGATGAACAATTACAGAACCGTTGATCAAAGTGTTTCTATCATAACCGATCATGTTTGATAATTCAAATGGTGCTCATAAGAATGTGAAAGAAAAATCATTTTGTAAGCAAGGGAAACCTTAATAGTTGTCCAAATTTGCCGTTTCCTAGAAAATCAGACACTAAAGTACATGAGGATAGAATATGCTGAAATCAGTTGGAAAACAACTAAAGAGGCGACAACTAACACATAAATAGCTAATGTGGTTTTTCTGGCTCCCTAATGAACCTTTGTTTGAATTTTTAAAAATAAGAAAAGAAGGATAACAATATCTTAATTATAGAATTGAAAAAAAAAAAAAACCTTTAAAAACAGCTTGTAAACTATTTCCCTTTTTAGAAACATCTCTCTGAAATATTCAGCATTCTAATGACTTTCTGCAAAGGTGACCCATTAGCTGATGGCTAAGTTTTGGAATGGATGTGGTCAGAATTTCAAGTCCACACTGCAACACAGTGACCAATGTGGTACAACACTGAACCAAATAAAACGAAAGGCAGTTACCCACCCCCCGACACACATATACTCTTTGTGAATTTCAGATCTCTTTTCACTGAATTTGTAGTTAGTTTAAAAACCAAAAGTCAACATGAAATGTGTGCCTGATAAACACCCCTACAAAATAAGCCATGTTAGAATGAGACAATTAGAAAGCCCATTTTTTACTGGAAATAGCCCAGATATGTTAGATGGCAGTCTAAGCTGAAGATTTGGAACTAGTGTTACAGGGTTGTGGATACTAGTTAGAGAACTGCTTAAAAGCTTATATTAAGGCAAATAAAAGCTGATTGCTAGAAAGCAATTATTAAAATGTCTCGTTTATCTAAAGGAGAAAAAGGACTTATTTTTTCCTGGTGCAGCCAGATGTTCTAACTTCGGAACAAATGAGCCTGGTCAATAGCATACAATAACTCCCAAGTCTGTTACTTTGGCCTTGCTAAGCCCACCTGGCTTGGGCATCTTGCAGGGTGACTGACAGAAGGGCAAGGGTGAGATCGGAAACAGACAGGCCACCCTGCCCTCTCCTTCCAAGCCTCTGCCAGCACAAAGACAGACTAGAAGCAAGGATTTTGCAGCTAGTTGACATCTTGGCTCTTCTGTACCTGAAAATAAAAGTAAGTGCTTGTCCTGCCCTTGTGGGTCAAAGAGACCTGCACAATTTCCTTATGGGGGCTTTTCTGGAGGAGAGGGTTCTAAGTACTGTGTCCAGATCTCATACTTTGTAGGCCACATGTAAGGCCTTTCTTCTGGATCTGGTCAACCTGCCAGAGATGGAAGAATTGCATCAGGTTCGTAAGCACAGTGAAAGGCTGGCTCTTGTCCAGGGAGGTCCACTGCTGGCCTGGCTATATGGCCTCGGGGCTTGGTGGCAGTTTGAAGAGTCTGGCTGCAGATACAAGCTTCCTTATGTGTCGCTCCTCTGTGATGCCAGCCTCCTGAAGGCAAGTATGGGACAGGGAAGGCACTTGGCTCAGTGTGCTGAACCCTGCATCAGAGAGGGTGCTGGTGTACATGGGCAGGCCAATGGAGATGAGCCAATCATTCATGGATGCGACACATCCAGGAGACAGGGGTTTCTTGCAGATTTCCGTGAGCCCACCACTTGGGATCTGGATAAAGAAAGCACACAGTATCATGAAGACTTCTTATAGGCCTATGAAGAACAATCCTGAAATATGACACTGCTACATTATTATCAGAAAGTGATAATGCTATGAAATGTCAAAAATCAACACCAGCCTAAAGAAGTCTCAAAAATAAATCTTCAGGGACACGTTGAAGATCTACCAGTTATTTGGATTTAGATCAAATCCCAAGTATGTGTCCTAGGCCTCTAAACTGTAAGCTTTTATATATCCTGCTGTTTCATCTGTTCCGCAAGAGATGGCTACGGTGACTTGCAGAGACAAAGCTGTGTAGTAGTGTGAAAAGGGTACTGATGGGTAGTGTGTTTGTAAAGTAGGTTTCCACTGTATTTTGAAGCTACATGAATAACCACAAAACTAAGCATTTAATTAATGTAATTATGATAAATTTAAAATGCAATCATGTTAAGGGTTGGCTAGGACAAGGAAAAGGGCACTGAAACTTGACTGGAAACACGAAGGGTTCCATCTTTCAGAAAGGTGATTGGTAGCGTGTGTGAAAATCTTTGAGATTTTATACAATCTTGATAAAGCAAACGCTCTTTAAAGAATACATCATCAGATATTACCATGGAAGTCTACAAAGATTTATTAATAAGATACTCTCTGCTATGTTAGTTAAAAGAAAAAGCTGGTGAAAACCTGAATGTTTCAACAACATGGGGTTAGATATACTGCAGGACATTCACCTAACAGAACACACTGAAATACTGGTAACAAGAAAAGAATTTTTTTAAGCAACTGTTAAACAGATTTACAATCTGATAAGAGAAAGTAATCAGGTTTCAAAACACATTTACTATTATGCATGTGCACAGAAATGGAGACTTTTTAAACTGAGAAGTAAAAATTGTATATATCTAGGATGCACAGATGACGTTCTGATAAATGTACACTCAACACACACATTAATCTCACGTACTTATCTTTTTTTATGATGGTGAGAACACTTGATGTCTATGCCTTAGTAATTTCAAGTATACAATATATTGTTATTAACTGTACTGATCACATGTTACGACAGATCTCTTGAGCTTATTCTTCCTGTTTACCTAAAATTTTGTGCCCACTACATGTGTTTAAAGAAAAAAAAGTTTTCATCGCGCTGGGATTATGGGTAATTTTCATTCATTTCCTAAAATCCTAACACTCAGAGGCTGAGACAGCCCAGGCTACACAGTGAGACTGTCTCTAAATAAATAAATAAAACTCTAGGGGGTTGGGGTGTCACTGCTTAGTGGTAGAGTACTTGCCTAGCATGTATGAGGCCCTGGGCCTCAGTCCTAGCTCCACAAAATAAAATAATGAAGATAAATCAATCAATCAAAATCTTGGCCTCCTTCCCAGGGCTCTGACGAGCATTTGCTCTTTAGCACTTGTCGGCTGGCCTGCTTATCACTGGGTCTGTAAAGCCAAGCGAGAGACACCCAAAGCACAGAGGGGCTGCTCACCGCCATGCGGTGCTGCTTGCGAAGCAGCTTCACCCGGATCTGGTCCATGTTGGTGGCGATGTCCCTCTCAGGCTGATCTAAGTCCTCCGCGTATCTCTGCACCAGGGCTTCAGGAATCCCACAACGGCCATGCTGCCAGGCGAGAACAGAAATGTGGCATGAAGGGCTGCACTGAATCTTTTCTTTGTCTAAGCTACACCAAACACAAGGCAGGATAACACATTTAGCTACTGGAAAACATAACCGAAAGTTCTCACTGGAAACACATATACGTTCTTGGTCATCAGGACTCATCAGGACGGCTGCTTTAGGGGGAACTCATTTGCACCTTCATCTTCCAAATACTGATAATATCTAGAGAAGTGTTTTGAATCATAATTAAGGCAGAACACAACCATCCTGTATTTTTCAGACCACTGCCTTCACCTCGCTCTACTTGATCATTTTGCAAAATCTAATTCCTCCCATAGTGTTGAAGACGGTCCCCAAAAGTACAGAAGGGGAAACTACTGCTCTACATTCATTGCACTCTTTGCTGGTGTACCACGTCACTGGGCCATGCTCACTACAGAATTGTCCCTATTTTCCCTTTAGAGCAGGCTACTCATGAAATATCTGGGAGGGGCAGGCACAGAAGCAGGGAGAGGCTTTTGGGAGGCATGCATGCTCACAAGATTTTATAACAAGGACTCTCAGGAACAAACTCTGACAGGACATGCACTTCCAGGGGTAAAGTGCAGCTACCTCCAGTATCATGGATTTGTCTTCAAGTCACTTTGGTGGAGGTAGAACTTTTTATTTATTTTTCTTTTTAAATGAAAAATGATTTTTGTTATAGATGTCAATGGTTTTGGTACAATGGGATTTTCTGAAAAATTTTTCCATATCATCTACAGGTAAAACAGAGTGTATTACATCTGAACAAGTTCTGTAATTTCTAATCTATGTTCCCATTTATTGTACTTGCACCTGGCAATCTTCTAAGAGGTGATTTTGCAGTTTTTTAAAATCCAGGTGACCTATAGTGAAATGAGGTGGGGGTGCAAATAATTTCCTGTAGGTCACACACACCAACTATCCTCGGATCTCTCTTGCTCACTAAACCATTCCTTACAGGAACAGGCTCTGGTACCAACAATCTCTCTGCAAAGTACACTTGCTAAAAATTAAACTCCCCCTAGTGAGAGCAAAAGAAAACTGCTAGGCTGAATTTGCACAGTCTGGGGCCTGTGCTCTGGGTTCACCAGCAGGTGAGCACTGTGACTAGATGGACAGAGGCTGCTGGTGGGGGGCCACCATGCTCTCAGCATGGCCCACAAACTTGGGCAGACCTCCCAGGGCAGCAGTGGCCTGCACCTCACCTGGCTGCCTGACTGAGAGAAGCAAAGGCCAGTGAGCGTGGGGTGGAACCTGGGGTCGGATACCTTGTCGGAGTAGGGTTCCTCGGTGAGGTCGATGCCCTCAGCCTGCAGCTTGTTCTCAGTGAGTGTCTCCAGGTCCACGGCCCGGACACAGGACACCTTCCTGCTCAGCACGGGGCCTAGCTTCACGCCGTGCTCCTGCAGACTGGCACTCTCTGGGAGCTCTGAGAGCCAGGGCGGGGGTCTGGGGCTGGATGGGCTGGCCGGGCTGGCTGGCTCCTGGCCCAGGACTGGGAGTGGGGGTGGGGGTGGCTTGGACACCTGTGCCGAGGGACAGTCAGTGGGGCAGGCAGGGCTGGCCTTCTTCATGGGCAGGCAGGGCACATCAGAGCCCATGGGAGCCAGGTGGAGGCCATTGGCCAGACGCTCTCTGCTCTTTTTGGCAGGAACAGGTGGGGGCTGAGAAGGATGTTTTGGCTGTGTCCTTGCCTCGGGGACCCTCTGCTCAGCATCTACCCCGTCTTTGGTGCCCGGGGGGTGGGATGTTCCTTCCAAATCATGTCCTTTCCTGTGCCCCTCGAGAGACGTCCTTGTTAAACTGGGTTTAACTCCGGGAGGCTGAGCCTCGTAGTTTCTGGGCAAACACTGAGGAGGTGACGGACCGCAGGAAGAGGCAGCGATGGGACCGTCCAGTTTCTTAGTAGTCATTTTCTGGGGGTCAGAAAATCTCTTGCTTTGGGTCAGTAGCGATGCATTGTCGGCAGCAGAGCTGTGCCCCGGGGGCTGAGCTTTTGCAGTGGAGGCGAAGGTCTTTAGTGGCACTTCTGGTACAACCCGAGGGGAAGATTCCGTCACCTCGGTAGGCACATCTTTTCCAGCATCAGGCTCTCCTTGAAGGTCATCCAGGGAATGCGATCGGGGCCAAGTTTCCACCGACTCAGGGTCCTCCAGGGTCTCACAGCTCCGACAGATGGAGACCGGGAGGCTTCTTCGGTTTTTACTCAAACTGGTCACACAGGGTACGTCACAGTGCTTGCCGGTGTCCAGGGTGGGACAGTGGCCCAGTCTGCTCTCCTCTCCCTGCTTCCTTGGGTCCACTGACTTCATTAAAGGCAATGTCGGGTAGGTACCCAGCTGACTCCGGTTGAAAGACTTCAAGCTGGACACGGCTGATGACTGGGCAGATAGGAGGCCAGTTTTCTGAGTCTTCCCTGTGAGACAAAGGAATGTTTTACGATCTCATTTTAAAGCAAATCAGTCCAGCTGAAGCACAAAGATGAGCTAGCATAATTGAAATCTCATTGTTGAGTGACGCTAAGGACACAAAAAGACACTGGGTGGTGTCAGTTATTATGGTCTCCTCTTTATTTTTAGAAGAATTCTTAGTTGTATTAAAGGACTCATGGAGACTGAAATTGAATGCACTATTTAAATAGGCTTAATGTCTGTTCCTAGCTGCACTGAGTATACAGAGGGTTCATCGTATGTGTCCTATTTAGAAGACATACCAATGGGATTTCTGTTGGTTGAGTATGGTTTCCCAAGGTCATGGCAGTTTCTGCTGGGTATTGGTGGGGGAGAGGGAGGGGGCGGAGTGGGTGGTAAGGGAGGGGGTGGGGGCAGGGGGGAGAAATGAACCAAGCCTTGTATGCACATATGAATAATAAAAGAAAAAAAAAACAAAAAAACAAAAACAGAAAGGTAGACTGATTTCTTCGAACTGGTTCTATAAATGGTGCCCCTGAATACTCAAACCACAGCTTCCTTGAGGCTGCTCCCTGATAATAAATTTACCCTAGAACAAGTGCCCCACCTTGTTATGAACAGTAAACAAACTGAAGTTAGTACTTTGCCAGAAGCCATCTATAAAATTTTTGTTCAGCCAATTACCTGTCCTGATTCAAATGAGTTGTTAGAATGGTAACTGAATGATTACCCACATACAATCTACCTATTTGGCAACTGTTGACTTTTCTGAACTGCTGCTGCTTCTTGGTAAGTGTTACCAGGAGCCCTGTCCCCGGGCCAGCCACTGTGCTAATCTGTAGGTGCATGTCGTGCGAGTGTGCACACACCCAAGAATTAACTGTCTTTGTTTCATTTTTAGTTAGTAATATGTTCGATGTGTGCTATAACACTAGGTTAATGGCAGAGAGGAATACCCCAGCTAAGAGAATATATGAACCAAGTGATCCTATTACTCTAAACCTATAGAGGAGGGTGAAAAATGGTAAATTGACAGCAGGCTTGGAAGGTACAAAGAAATGGCTGGCTCTAATCTCTGAAAGCTACTGTGTTGTAAGTAAGATTTGCTTCCTAATCTATTGTTTCAGTAAACATTTAAATTTGATATTTTAATGTAGAATTCTGGCATTTACCCATTAAGCAATCTCACCCTTTCAATACAATACAAAAAGCTAGAAGGGGAAATTAGGCTGTAGACGAATTTAATAGGAGGGAGAAGAAAGGTGGGTGGGGCCCAATCAAAAAGGAAATGGTCCCGTGAGGGTAAATGAAAGACATTCTTTGATAAAATCTCTACATGAGGCTGAACAGAAGTGGGAAGAGGAACAGAAAGAAGAAGCCTGGGGCTGGGACCTTACAAGTGGTGTGGCTATCTTCAGCAGGGATTCCGTCCATGATTTCACAGCTTTCTACCAGACTCGCTCTAATTTCAAACTGCTAATAGGAAGTGTATCACATCAAGCATGTTTACAGACCCTACTGATGGATAAGAACAGTGGTCACCTCATTAACACTTCTTCTTTCTTTTTTTTTTGGAGGTATTGGGCCTTGGATTTAGGGTCTCACACATGTCGGGCAATCATTCTACCACTTGAGCTATGCCACCAGATCTTTTTTAGCTTCAGTTATTTTTTGGATAATATCTTGAGATTTTGCCCAAGCCAGCAACTACCTATGCTTCTCACAAAGCTGGGATTAAAAAAGTGAAGCACCATGACTAACTTATTGGTTGAGATGGGGGGGGGGCGGGTCTCACTAACTTTTTGCCTGGGCTGGCCTTGAACTAGGATCCTCCTGATCTCTGACTCCTGAGCAGCTGGGATTACAGAGGTGTGCCACTATGCTTTGCCAGACTTTTTATTAATGATGCCATCCTTTTTGATAAGACACAAATCAACACACTGAATATTTTGCATTTGGCACAGCACAGTCCTGGTCAAATTGTTTTTGCCTCCCTTATGAATAAAAACTTGTCCACCTGCATGTTTCACATGATAAACAGCAAAACAGGCATTGATTTGTAGGTTATTACTTTTTTGTTACATGGGAACCTACTGTTAATACTGACTATGCTGGCTATGCCCCATTTCTCACTAACAGAAGAATCATGAACAGATAGATAGATGCAAAGAGGAAACACCTCTTCGGGGAGCATATCCCATTAATGTTAAAAAATTCTTAAAGTTCCTTTAGCATAAATTTTACAAATAAGGGGCTTTTTTCCCTTAATTCCCAGTATGAATTACACACGTAAGTTTTATTTTTATAGTCTCCTTAGAGAGGAGAGATCCCTGAAGTCACCAGGGATCTTTCTGCTATTCTCCAGCAGGTGCTATCTGTGAATGCAGAGTTGGGATTAATTTACTGAAATGTTTTGACTAGGGAAGGTTATTAGCAGAAAAGAAAAACCATCCAGACCTACATGAAATTTAATGTTTGCTATGATCCTGACCACGGCAACTGAATATTAGAGTTCAGAGGACCTACTACTTTCCCAAACACTCTTGAGTGGCAGGGCTTACGGATTGAATTTTGAGGCCCCTGGGATGCTCATTGCAATGGGGATCAAGGTGTAGACCAGCAGCGTGCTGAAGATGGAAACCTTAGGAGGACCACACAGAGCGATGCACCGTGAAACCAGCACCTCATTGGAGTTTGCAATTGGGCATCCCCTTACCTTGTCTGGATCCTTGTTTTGTTACCCACAGTGATCCTCGTACTATTTTTTACGATGATGCACACTAAGAAACACAATTTATATTTGCCATCCAATACAGACATAGACGTAACTGAAATAAAGATTGTAAGCTGTGTCCTTACTCTGCTTAGCCTCACCTTGTGGAATACATTCTCATACCTTCTTCTCTATTTTGTCTCACTGCCCACGGTGAGAAGCACCCGCAGGTGGAGATAGCTTGCTTTAGTAGGTGTAAATGAATACACCAACACCCGCACTACTGGACGGCTTCTAATGGCAGCTAACAACCCAAACCCAGGCATTTTTCTCTATGGCCTTCAAGTGTTCAGCGAGATCTAGGTCATGGTGGTGGCATGACCCTTTATTACTGTTTCTAATCTTGAAGTAATGGGAATTTGGGGGTTACAACAGGAAACCACAGAGCCACCCACAGTGACATTTAGCCTTCATGACCCATTCTACTTAAGACTGAACTTCGGTTTGGGACAAGCGGGCTTTCTGAAGTTTTGTATCAACTGTTTCTCGGCTGTTAAGACAAGGAAGCCACAAACAGGACACGTGGCCTTCCAGTCACCCTCTCTGGTGGTAATTGCCTCTGGATTCAGGCTGTGCAGCTGGAGTGTTTATGACATGGCTTCTGGTGTGACCCTGATGGATAGGCTACCTGGTAAATTGTTTTCCTTGTGGGCCTAATAGTTCCCAATACTGAACTGCTGGTTGTTACTGCATAAAGAAAAGGGAATAGGGGACACACAATTTAGGTTTTACAACTGCAGATATTTTAGATGGGTTTTATTAAGCTCACACAGCAGCCAGAGGAATAAACACAGAGGCTAACTGGAAACGAGCATGGGGGAAAGGCCAGGAATGAGAAGATGACCACCGGATTCATCACGAACAGAGACCACTAACGCTCTGGAAATCAGGGATTTCAAAGTGGGCTCTGAGAGTCTGTGCTGTGTTACCGTTTTCCAGATTCTCACTGCTTTCGTAGCATCCCGAGTCTCGCGGGGAACATCCACTCAGGCCCTGGCCATCCACAAGCAGCTTCTCTTGGGACCCGGACTGGTCGCTGTTACCTGGAGAAGGTGAACATACAGCATTGAATCAATCATGAGAGGGTGAGAAGCAGAGGCCCCAAAGTCAGCTGGCTCCTAATTCTAGCCTCTGTCACTGCCATGTTTAAGCCTTGAACAAATTATTTCAAAGTAAATGAGCTCAATGAGCTCAAAATGAGCTAATGAAATCAACATTTTTTTTAAAAAAAAAAGCATCAATCACATGAAAATAGATTTGGAGAGAGAGCACATGGGTTAGAATTTTCACAGGCAGACTGAAGCCTCTGAGGTGAGACGTGCAGAGCGTGGCGCTGGATGGGGGGAGCACTCATGGTCCTCGCTGAGTGACAGCACCATCAACCAGAAGCAGAGTGGACGGATGGCCCTCTCGCAAGGTGGCTTACTTAGGTCATGTGCTTTCCAAGATCTGTGAGACTTGTGCTTCAAGTCATTTATGTCACCAGCTCTCCAAATTTGGGAGCTTATATAAAAATGCCAAATGAACTATACACTGTTAACGTTCTTGGTGACACATGCTGGCTCTTGTATTACATCAGCAAGAAGGCTGGCTGGAGGGGCCCAGGCCCCTGCGATGAGGAGAGGCCTGAAGCAAATCCCCTTGGGTTGGTTGTCTGGAGTGAACGTGAGGACTTCCTTTCCTCTCAGCCTTCTCCCTCTGTCTAGGGCCAGTATTTCTAGTTCCTATACCCAAGGCCATGACAGGGAATGCTCAGGAGCTCCCCCTGACTAAGGGGGATGTCTGTCAAGTTGGACCTGCTTGTTCTGAGGAACCCTCTTAAAGAGAAACATCATAATTTGTCAACTGGATCTCAGCCAAGCTGGGGCGAAAATCAAGAGATGCACCAGACAGGTCTGATGGGGGAATCGGCCGAGAGTGAATCCCAGGGAAAATCACATGGCCTTTTCCCTGCAGGGCACGTATGTAGCCCTGTGTGGGACACTGAGGTTACAAGAGTGCATCTTCATATTATTATGTCGAGGAAGTGCTTAGTCACATAAACAGAAACCAAGAACACATTTTCTACATAAAAAAGCTAGTTGCAATGACAAATGGCTTTATTTTAATTTCTCTTCACCTCCCACTTGTCCACCCCAAACACATACACAAAGAAAAAAGAAATCTATAACCAGAAATATGATGCCTTTTCTCAGGTCATCGAATTAAATGTGAGGACGTGGAGGGCTGCCTGCCATTCCACACATGTACTGTGGTTTTATTGACCTCTCACCACTTCCTGTTTGTACTGCTCACAGGGAAAGCATTCTATCACACAAATTGTGGCAGAGATCATGGCAGAACAAGCCCTTAAATTAGAACTCCAAATTAAGAGTGCTGGTTATTAAATGATTAATGAAAACTTAACAAATTAGAAGCACACGAGCAAATGTTACCCTTTCCATCACCACGACCTGGAACATTCTACAGTGATGACTCATCAAATGGAAGAGCCTGTGGATTTGGAATGGCTTTTATTGTAGCCAGCATGTTATTTAGAAAAATGATAGTTGTAAATGAGGGCTTTGAACTGTCCACTACAACCCAGGAAAAGGAATCGGTGTCATTTGTTCCTGTGGCAATAATTCAGCTTACCAGAGAAGGCAAGCAGACTCCACAATGCTGACCAATGGGAATAAAAGAGAAAATGTGTCCCCTACAGCTGCAGGAAAATGAGTCCTGGTTCATTCTGGACTCCCAGCCTCACCAGACATAGTAGGATACTTTTGTTATAGAGAGGAACAGGATCCCTCCCCACTGCCTGAAAACCATACTCTAACCAACTCCAGCCACACTCTGTCTCCAAAATCATGAGCCAGAAGGGGCTAGAAGTCACTGTCTTCATCAAGGAGGAAAAGAGGTGGGTGCTTCTTGTCTGTACTGCAGGATCCAGCCCCTAACCTCCCACACTTGTTAGTATTAATGCCAAAGTATGAAAGACAAGAAGGAGTATGAACTATGCCAATTTTCATAGCCAAATAAGAGCAAAAGGACCGAAACCTCATTGAGCATGACCTGAACTTGGACCTGAAGGGATTCTACTTGGGCTAAGCTGTTCTTTACCCCCATTCAACCATGCACACACATGTATGCACACTCATGTGCACACGGACACAGGAAGACTATGCTAAGACACTTAGGAGATCTTCAAAGATCAAAAGTAGTTTGATGGGTATACACTGTTTTCGGGAGAGCAGGCACTTCAGGAAGGAAGAAGGGGAGGAAATGGGATTGTAACATTACTTCTTAGGAAAATAAGGATTGAAGCAGATATGGCAAAATGTTAAACTTTAGTTGAATTCAGGAAGTATATGTGTGTATATTTTAGCCATACATTTAAAAATGGTTAAGATGGTAAACATCACATGTGTATTTTACCATAATTAAATTTTTTTTTTTTAATTAAAGGGAGTCTTCACTTAGGAGACCTGAGAAAGGGCAAGGGAAAGCAATGTGACAAGCAACAGTCTTTCCCAAATAGAACTGGGTCTGAAGGCTGCCTGCCCTTCCCCAAGCATGGGGAGATGCTGGGCAGGTCTGACTTCTAAGCAGTACTGGAAATGTATTTTTCGATATTGGTGGAAGTCCGAGCTAGAAAACTTCAAAATTCCTACATATCTTCAAAGACCTCATTAGATTTCTGTATCTTTCCAGTGATGGAAACCTACCTTGTTCTCTAAGTTATTAGTTACTTAGAGGGAATATTTCATATACAATGAGTGTAACTGTGGTGGATGTGAAGTCTTATAACCCCAGGATCAGTCCAGACCTGACTAATGGGTAACCCCTGAGCCCTGGAAGTATTTGTTTTAGGACCAAGAAAAGGAAATACTACTTTCCGTACAAGAGAAATTCTAAACAATAGACCTGCACAGACCCAAAGAAGATTTATAAAAATCCTTGCTGTTTGTCCAAGTTAGTGTCATGATGGATAAAGACTCTCTCCTACAAAGTGACCTTGGTACAAATCTCAGGATACAATCCTTGGACAATGAGTCTGAGCCACTGTAGCATAAGAATGAGCCCAGTGTCCTTCCTTTTACTCAGCTTTGTTCCTACTACATTTAAATGATAAAGGAAATGTAATGGATTGTATATAATCCATTGTTCTCCTTGGTTGAGAAAGAGCAAAGGAGCTTATATTACAGAGCAGATATAGTTTAGAAGAACAGATGATTTAATATTAATTCATATTAATACATCTGGTCAGCTATTCCCACCACCGTCCATGGTCTTTACACACAACCTGGCCAAAGATCCCATGGTGTCTCTTGAGAGACTCAAATACTATAGATATTAAGTATGAAACACAATTCCCTGCAAATTTATCCCTGAAGGGTACTTGTTTATCTAGGGTTAAGACCTCCATTTAATGGTGTTACTCTGTGTTATCAGTTAACTTAGAGGAAGTCATTTTAAGCAGAAGTGAATTTACTGACACACTTGTTCCCAAGTCTTGTAGGTCTGACACATCCCGTAATGCTCCTCACCTTAAAAGAGGGTTCCAGAACCCCATGAGAGTATTATTAAAAAATGCACTTCATACACCCAAACCTACTCAACACTCTAGTTTAGCCACATGGGGCACTATAGAGTACTGATTGTCACCCTTGTAATCCCAGGGTGATTGGGAGCTGTGACTTGCTGCCTAGCATCATAAGAAAGGATCAGATTGCATACCACCAGGTCAGGAAAAGATCAGGGCTCAAAATCTGAAGAAGAGTTTTTACTGATTGCTTATTGCTTCCACACCATTGGAAAGTCAAAAACTCCTAAACTGGGGAGCATCTGTCACATGTAATTTTTTTTCCCACCATTAACCGTGGTTTGGTGTGTTTTTCAGCAATAGAAATGCTATTAGCTGCTGATATCCAAGCAGAGCACTTGAAAGAAAATGTATTTGAATTCAATAACTGGAAAGGATACTCCCTTCCTGATGAATAATTTCAGGAATAATTCTGATGTCAGATTGAAGAATAAAGAGCAAGATGAGACTAAGTTAATGGAGCAACAGCTAGGATGCATTCAAATAGATTCCATAAAAGCTGCGAACTCACTGAATTCTGTTCACGGGCTATAAAAATAAGCTGCCATTTATTTAAGTTGAGAATTCTCTGCTCTACATATTCAGTTCAGAGACACTTCCTTCTTTAATGGAAACTGATGAATTTTGCTTATTCAGTAACCAACCAACTCAATGAGAAAACAACTCTTTGCTTGCTTTGGGAAATAATGACTCCTTAGCTGGGCAAAGAGCAGTCATTTTTGTGCCCAGATAAAGGTTGCACATCCCAACGGTACCAAGGTGGAGTCTACTGGTTTCTTAAGAAAACTGCATTTCAGTTCTCAGACTCTTGATGTAGCCTTCTCTTGCTCCCATATTCACAGGAATGTTTAAACGGGCAATTTATATGTCTTTGAGCTGTTTGGCATAATACAGAATTGACCATGGCTTTGGAAAGGGCAAGAACAAATCATTACAGCGTCCTAAGTGCATGCTGCTTATAGCTTATGGAAGGCCTACTGGTGACAAAAATGTGGCTGATCTACCAATGACCACTTCTGTGTGTGCAAGTGCTTACTGTCATATTCCTGTAACAGCTCCACCGCTGTCAGGAGAACAGCTCGGTGTTCGGGGTCCCTGATGTTTAATTCATCCAGGTCTTCCTCCTCCAAGAGCTTGAAGGTGTCCAGGTCCTCATATCCATTGAACAGGAAAGTAGGCATGTGCTCCTGTGAGACACAGAAAGAAGACTGACAGTGAGTCAGCAGCCCAGCCGTGGGATTCTCATGCTAATCAAATGATGGGCCATCATTCGTAATATATTCTGTGCCTCCCTGTCCCCCAGCTTAATAGACAGGTAGGGTGTTTTATTAATCATGGGTTAAGAAGAGGCAAATGGCAGACTGTGATGGATCCCACTTGCTGGCATTGTAAGTGCCTAGATATGTATGAACTAATCCCTTTATCATCACACACCCTATAGTAGAGAAGGCGTCTTCTACACTGGTAGGAATAGTGAAAACCCTGAGAATTTCTCAGGAGCAAGGTTTTGCAAGGAAAAGAAAAGAATCTACCACTACAGACCCACCCTCCAAGATGCTGAGATTCGCAGTGAGAGAGAGATGGGAGGAGAGATGCCTCATGCCCTGGGGAGCTGGGTGTAGCAGGGTATCTGGATTTTTGCTTAGGGCCTTTGCAGCAGCAAATTTTGATATAGGGCTTATACTACACGTTCATGCACAGCAGAGGTCAAGGGCAACACTCGAATACTGACAATTATTCTCATAGAACGGTTACTCATCATATTAATGGGCCACTCTTGTTGGATGACACAGACCAATTCCTCCCCTACTAACAGTGCCCTCAGCTGCTCAGTTTAAGAGAAGGAAAAGGCAAGGAGGACTCATGTGACAAGAATAAGAAGTGACTGACTTTCAGGTTAATCCGATCCAGAAGATCTTCTACAGACTTGGGCTGGGGCGGTCTTCCTTTTCTCCTCCTCCTGGTGGGGCGTTTGGGCTTCTCCTCTTCCTCATTTAACACATCCACATAGATGAACTTGAACGTGCCAACTTTGTTGTTCAATAGGCCCATCCAGGTACCCATGGGAGGTTTGCTGATTATATCAATGATGTCTCCTTTCTGTGGCCCACGGAACAAAGATTGTTCCATTAGGTACAATTGTAAGCATGAGCAGTGAAACAGTCAGATGCATGAGTCATGCAGGTATGAAAATGCTTCAAAGGCAGCATGAGGGCCCTGCCAGTCGCCTTTATGAGTGACTGATGTAGGATACCACTGGGAATTTGGCAGAGGCCAAAAGGAGCACTTTTGACTATACTGGATGCCTTCAGGCCCCTGGTCACAACCCTCTCTTGCTTCTGTAGTGCAGGGCTGGCACACCTGAGCTGTTTCCCATGCTCTCAGCCAGGGTGCCTATCCCTGGCTCTCCGAACAGCCTTCTACCACCCACAGGGCTCCTACTTCCTGAAGAAAGAACCTCTCACCAGTCACAAGCCAATGGCAACCCCTGCTCTGTAACAGCTTCATACATTTTCAGTGCATAAATAGTTTTGTTCCCACACAGGAGGCAGAAATTGCCTTCGGACAGGAGAAAGCACAGAACTTGGGAGTGGAAGGTCATGGACATGTAAGAAAACAGCTGGAGTCAGGTGGCAGGGCCAGTGGTGACTACAGACAGACTGGTACAGACCCTCCTCTTCTGAACAGCTAGCTGGGTCTTGGTTTTGTTTTCACTACAGAGGAGACCAGTGGGTCAGTGTGACTGAGACTCAGTCTAGTCTGCATGGTAACAGTCCAGCATTCAATGGTAGGGAGGAAAGAAACCTTGGGACTTGGGTTACATGACAAGGGGAGAACATATATGGGAGGTATGGGGTTACATGAAAGCATTTGATGTCCCCACTCCAGAGGAATTAATACAGAAACCTTAAAGCAACAGAGGTCAACACAAGAAGGGGATCAGGAACCAGTGTGAAGATCAGTTAGAGATGAATCAACCTGGGTTGAAACACATCTGTACATGAAAGCAATGCTAGCTGTCCTTATCTCAACTAGCAAAAATGCTTTGTCTTTCTTATTATTGCTTATTTCTACTCTTCAACAGAACTGGAGAAAAGCACAGAACAGGTTCTGCCTGAAAGGGAGCGGGGAGGGGGTAGAAGGTAGGGGCAGGGGCAGAAGGGAGAAATGACCCAAACAATGTATGCACATGTGAATAAATGAATAATAATAAAAAAAAGAGACCTTATTAAAAAGGCAAAAGGGCTTAGGTTGGATGCTCCAAGGCCACAGAAAGACCCACCTTGAGCTTGAGCGAGTCTGTGTCATAGGGACTGGGGGTGAAGTCAGTGTGCACCCGGGCACGCCCACAGAAGGGGCCCCGGTAGGGCAGCTCCTCATCGTCACCATCTTCTGACTTGACACTTTCCCTGTTGCTGGCAGAGGAATCGGTGGTACTAACTGTCTGACCACCTGTGCAGGAAAAACAGGAGGTAGAAGGGTAAATACAGAATTCCCATGGAGCAAGGCTGAAAGGCACCAATGGCACTGCAGACAAGTAAATGAAGGCGCAAAGAACGGAAGCCAGATCTACGTCAGGACCAGAGCAGGACCCAAGTGTGAGTTCTCTGACTGTTAATTCAAGTTCCTAAGGCACAGGGAACTCAGCATGTTATCCTTAGGACGAGGGAATCATGGCATGAGGAGGCTTCCTGATGGAGAATGCTGTAGGACCAGACCTTTGCCTTTGCATTAGCACTCATGACCTCTCAACATGCGTGCATGGCCTTTCCCGTGCCTTAGAGAGGTCAAGTGACTTGCCCAAGGATAAGAATTTAAAGTGGTGGATTTGAACTTGATCTCTTCCCGGTTACCACTGGCCCTAGAGTATTTGCTCTTATGATATTTTTAATTCTGCCCCCTTCCCCAGTCTGCTGTATTTTATTGGCCATCTTCATGTGTTTTTTTCCCAGTGGTTTACTCTCTTCCATTCTCTAGATCCTTCTTCTGAAATACATTCTCTACATTCCCCATTCAAAATTAATCATCCCCATGTTTAGAGTCGAATAAATATGACTCTAAACCCAGACATTTTGTAGGCCTGACTCTCTAATAGCATCCTAAGAGCAGGGAATTAATCTTACTTTTCAACTTGTTTGAACTTGATGCTCAATAAATGTTTGATTTTAACTACAAAGGAAATCATCTATAATTACAAATCGGACTTACTCATCGAGCTCTGCCCACTCAGTGAGCTCCGAAGACTTTCTACAGATCCTCCAGCTTTGAGCTTAGGTTTGTCCAAGTGTTCAGAGTCTGGCTTTGCTGAGGCAGGGGAGCCAGGCATTCCATCCAGGCCTGAATCCTGAAATGGTTTCAATAAAATCAAGTTTTGTAATTCTCAGCAATTCGGTCTTTGACTTTATTAATCAAATCAGTCTTTATACCCATACTTGATGCTATATCCAACAGTCTCCTCCCTTTTAACCAAGACCCTTGCTTAACTTTAAATGTATGGCCCATTGTATTATTTATTAAGTATTCCAAAAACTAGTTTTCAAATAGATAATCTTGAAATCTCTGGGAGAAAAAAAATCTATTGCTACATAGACAAAATATTTAGCTAAAGGTTTAGGGACTCAGCATACTCAACCACTCAGTAACAAGCTGGACTTTTGACTACATTATTAATGTAGTATCCAAAAGTACTATCAGAGGATATTTAATCTATTTTGAAGGGGAACGTTTATACTGTTTAAAAAAAAAAAAAAAAAAAAAAGCATACTTCTTGAAAAACAACTGGCCAGATATTCATGTTTCTATTTCTATAAATCACTGAAATTGGCTAAGTAACTACCAACTAAAGATCCAGATATATGGAAAGTTTTTTAGTTTTTTAGTCTATAACAAAAATTTCATACTCCCAAATCACCTCCACTCCTACAGTGAGAACCGCTGTCACGAATAGAAGACCTGAGGCTTCATTTGAATGTGTGTGGGAGGCTGGTTGGTGCTCAGTGACTGCAACAGGAAGATGCTAGGTGTTTCACTCACCATACTCGCCAGGGGGCAGCAGCTGAGTAAAAATGTGCTCAGCTATTTTTACTGGGTGGATGAAGAAGCATTCTTTATACACTTTTAACAAATAACTAGCTCATATCCAGGGACTTTTGCAGGCTGCAAAATGAGTACAAAAAGTTGCCAAAAGAGAGGGTTTTGAAATCCAGTGGTCACAATTACTTCAAGGCCCAGCTCTCCAGGTGTTTTTATTCCTTCCACCTGTGCAATTTAGACAGAAACTGATCATGTTTCTAGTTATGAATATTTTTCTTTTTGTAGAACTAGTGGGGAAATAGATTCTGTGATATCTTAATGGCTATAGATTGGACCGTTAGCAAGATCTGCCCCTGTGGAAACCTAGAGACTAGTGATGTCCTCTGAGCTCCCTCCTCAGACCTGGTATGTGTTTCTAGGAAATTTCATGCTACCTCTAAAAAGTGTGTTGTCCAATGACATGCTTTCAGGCTGGATCTGGTGATAGACATTTTGTAGCAAGGGTATTTTAGAAAATTCTCCTTTTGTGATCAAATTTACACACTAAATACATTCTTTGATGAATAATCATTTGTTTATGTGACTACCTTTCCCTTTGAATGTAAAAGATAGAGCCTATGTTTTGTATTTCCAGCACCAAACACAGTGCCCAGATACCTGAAGTGTCACCAAATGTGTGCTGGAACACCACCAACAACAGGTGTTGGCGAGGATGCGGGGAAAAAGGAACCCTCTTACACTGTTGGTGGGAATGTAGACTAGTACAACCACTCTGGAAAAAAATTTGGAGGCTACTTAAAAAGCTGGACATCGATCTACCATTTGATCCAGCAATACCACTCTTGGGGATATACCCAAAAGACTGTTACTCCAGAGGCACCTGCACATCCATGTTTATTGCGGCACTATTCACAATAGCCAAGTTATGGAAACAGCCAAAATGTCCCACTACTGACGAATGGATTAAGAAAATGTGGTATCTATACACAATGGAATTTTATGCAGCCATGAAGAAGAACAAAATGTTATCATTCGCTGGTAAATGGATGGAATTGGAGAACATCATTCTGAGTGAGGTTAGCCTGGCTCAAAAAACCAAAAATCGTATGTTCTCCCTCATATGTGCACATTAGATCAAGGGCAAACACAACAAGGGGATTGGACTATGAGCACATGATAAAAGCGAGAGCACACAAGGGAGGGGTGAGGATAGGTAAGACACCTAAAAAACTAGCTAGCATTTGTTGCCCTTAACGCAGAGGAACTAAAGCAGATACCTCAAAGCAACTGAGGCCAATAGGAAAAGGGGAACAGGTACTAGAGAAAAGGTTAGATCAAAAAGAATTAACCTAGAAGTAACACCCACGCACAGGAAATCAATGTGAGTCAATGCCCTGTATAGCTATCCTTATTTCAACCAGCAAAAACTCTTGTTCCTTCCTATTATTGCTTATACTCTCTCTACAACAAGATTAGAAATAAGGGCAAAATAGTTTCTGCTGGGTATTGGGGGGGGAGAGGGAGGGGGCGGAGTGGGTGGTAAGGGAGGGGGTGGGGGCAGTGGGGAGAAATGAACCAATCCTTGTACGCACATATGAATAATAAAAGAAAAATGAAAAAAAATAAAAAAAATAAAAACACAAAGTCAAGCTTCAAGATCTATTAAAAAAAAAAAATGTGTGCTGGAATTGAATGTCTGTCTACATAAACAAAGCATGGTACTGGAGCAAGTTAATGCCAAGAGACAGGCAAACTTAGCACCATTCAAAAACTCAAATGGATTAGCTCGGCCTACCCTGGTGTCAGATAGACCCATGGAGATTTCTGCTAGGGAGTTGCGTACCTGCTCAGAGACAGAGCTGCTGCTGTACTTTTTGGACATTCTCTTCCTCATTGTCTCTTTCACTGATTTCACCTTCTTTCCAAGAGAGATGCGGGAGGCAGTGGGTGACTTGATTACTTCTTTGTACACAAAATCTTCTTTACCCTGTGAAACAAAATGTTGTAAATGCCTTCATCACAGAAAAGGAAGCCCAGAAACAGGTTTTGAGATCCAAACTATTCAGATCCTAGGCTCTCAGAAAAATATTAGCATTCTCCAGGATCTTGGAATTTTTCTTATGTTAACTCAGTTCTGTTATTTATCTTTATTTGGCTGAGGGGGAGGGGAGAAAGCTCAGAACTCAGGCCCTTGCCCAAGCACACTACCACTTGAGTCAGGCTTTAGGTTTTTCAAATAGGGTCTCACAGTTTTACCTGGCGCTGGCTTTGGATTTGATCATCCTACCTATGCCCATGAGCCACCATGCTTGACCTGAGTTATTTATCTTTTCAACTAGAAATTAAAATCTACTAAGAGGTTGTTGTTTGTTTATGGTGGAACATGAGTCACTTTTTATTTTATTTAATCTTGGTACATTCTTTTCCAATTCTGTTTTTGTCCACTATTTTTTATTATTTGTTGGTACTGGGGTGGTTGAACTCAGGGTCTCACCCTTGTTGGTAGGCGTGCTACCACTTGAATCTGCTAGTCCTTTTTGCATGGTTATTTCTGAGAGAGGGTCACACTTTATGTCTGAATCACAGTCCTCCTATTTGTGTTTGTCCACATAGGTGAATGACAGGTGAGTACCACTGTACCGAGCAATTGGTTGAGTTGGGGTATTGTGAACTTTTTGTTGGATTGGCATTGAATCATGATCATCCCAATCTCTGCCTCCCAAGGAGCTAGGATTAAGAGAGCCACCATGCCTGACCTTTTCCACTATCTTAAATATCCAAGAGGACAGCATTTCATCAGTAAAGAGTAATTGATATGAACCAATGTTCAGGTAACCCCACCAGTGTGGGAGGAGGGAGGTACAATGCTACTTAGTCACCCCAGAAAAGCACTAAGCATACACTGGTAAAAGCCCAGACAGGAAAAGAACAGTATCTGGCTGGTTTTATCACTCTTATGCTCATTGTGGTCAATCCTAAGAGTACATATTCCTTCCCTGAACAAGCTAGGTTAGGGTGGCCATCACTCATTCCATTTTGCATTGAAAAACAAACTTTCCCTTGAGAAGGGGGAGGAAAAAAAATCCTTTTCTCATTTTCTAAAGATTGACTACACAGAATTATTGGTTTATGAGCCAATAAAATCTGATATCCAAATATAACCATTTACATCATCCAGGAAATTCTGCAACACTTCATATCTCACAGATGGATATTTCAGCTGACACATGATCACAGCAACTAGAAAGCATGAAATCCTCATTTTACAGTTTCGTGGCAAAATACATATAAGGGACAAGCAAAACTAGGTAAAACTCACATATACCTTTGGGGCTTCAGGGAGTGGAAGTTGTGTGTCACACTGGTGGCCTGGCCCTAGACCATGATCTAGAAGCAGGTTTGAGGAGGAAGTAACCTTGCCTGGAGGAGCCCAGTTTGTTTTGGCACTACAAAGATGGGCTCATTCTAGGACACCCCACATCAAAAATGCCTATGTTGAGTAGAGGTGTTGGGAGGCCATGTATGGGGCCCACAATCAATAAGACTGGTCATTGAAAATGGCAGCAAATACTCTGGGTTCCCAAAGCAGAGGGCTCCACTGGGTCACACCACGTAGATGCAGTAGTTCTATGCACCTGTAACTAGGTGGAAGACAAGGCTTGTGGACGCAAATGACCAAGACCACAGAAGCCAAACTCATCCGGATGTGTTACCTGAAGAATACTGGAAGCAAAGGCAATGAAGGACCTATGCTACTTTTAGGAGGTGGAGGTCAGAGGAGTGACATTCACTCCATGAACAGTGGAGTATCTTTAAAAGGGAGTTTCTTTTCAAAGAAGCATCACTGAACAAAACCAGCATCAACTCTCAAAGATACCAAATGGAAAAACGATTGTCAACCACACCGCATGAGTCCAAACCTTTCCTCTGGCACCTACTCACCATTGTGTCAGAATTATTAGTGCCAACGTGCAGGGAACGATTTGTCAGGTCAAATCCTCCAAAACTGCAGGTTCTCTGTGGAAAGGCGGGCAAGGCAGGAATAATTATGCTTAAGTTGGCTAGCAGTGCGCACCCCAACACATTTCCCCTCTGCTGGATCACAAATATGTGTACAGGATGAAAGTAGGAAACAAGAAATGATGAGGGAAAAAACATGATTCATGTCCTAAGGAAACTTTACTCACTTTGCACTTTCACAACCACTAGAATTTTCCCTACCACAGGTGTCTAGAATCCCCTTAACATGCAAAAGTCAATTGCTCTTAAAAAAAAAAAAAAAAAAAAAAAAAACCCAGCCAAAAAACCCTCCACAAATTTACTGTGGTAAGATTCCTTGTCTCTAGCACAGAACTTCCCTTAACATTAATTACTTAGAGTAGTGACAATAAAAGAATATTACTGAGTGGAAATGGAAATGGAAATCCAGGTTTGAAGTCCTGTGCTTGGCCACTGGCAGTAGGCTTTTCTAAAAGACTTTTGTTTTGTTTAGTTTTAAATTGCTGAGAAGGGGGAAAAAGGGTTATGTTTATAAAGGCCCAATCAGGCCAAAAGGATTACTCACTCACTGCCTCCCAGTCCTGGCCAAAAATGCTGATAACTTTCCCATCTAACTGCCCAACTTAATTAATTATAACCCTTTTTCTCACAGCGGATGAAGTTAAGACACCACATTTACCCAGAAAGAAAAAGACTGATTGAGTGACTGTCTTTGACGATACTCTCTAATTTTAATAGGAAAAAATGCAGATGTTATAAAAATGGGTGAAAATTTTGTCTTTTTGGTTGGTTTCAAGTGTATAGAGCTGCTTATATTTCAGTGATTTTGTATTCCCAGAACTTGGATTGAATTTCCTTTGTTTTTCTAGCAAAAACCACTCAACCACCACTACTGACCACCACCACCCCCCCACAGACCCCAGGCACACTGATTAATTTTTGTTGTAACTAATGATAATCATTTAAAAGTTGAGCAGCAGATTTGGGCTCCAATATTTTGTATTACCTGTTTCTCAGAAATGAACAGAAAATTACAATGCATACCATAAACACTGCATATTTAAAATAAACATACTTTGGACATATATTAATTTGCTACATTGAAAACCTAAGTAGAAGCAACCTGAGAGGTAAATGACTAGGCTCTAGAAATCGCACTTAGGTAGATCCAAGTTCAGGTTCTGTCACTTACTTGCTGTGGGACCACTAGCCAAGTACTCTCTGAACCTTGGGGTCTGCATTAGAGAAATGCTGTCTTCAGCATCTGTTTGAAGACCTTTAGTACACTGCTTGGCATAAAGCAGACACTGAATGAATGCTGGTTTCTCCATTACTTTTCATTATGGCTATGCCGAGAACTTGGTAACTCGTTCTGACAACTGTTATGTTCAAGTCCAGGCTTAGTCAATATTATAAATGTGCAAATGAACGGCTTGAGTTCCATTCCAGGCTTTATAATCCCTAGACCCAATTCTAAAGTCAGAGCATCCCAGGATTGGGTCCCAGTGGGAAAAGTGGCAGTGTTGGCCCAGGGAAGGGCAGGTGAACAGGAACGCCCCGAAGCTGTTATTTTTTTATCTACCATTGTTGCTTCTGTTTTAAATCATCTACTTCTGACTTGTTTTCCAGTGGTTATTTAGACTACTTTTATATCAAATACCAACAGGTAATCTAACTGTTTTTATAGTCAACTTAACTAGACTCATGTCTAGTCTGTAAGAAGAGAAAAATATCTATATATGAAAACACCAAATCACCTAACAGGGAAGTAATATTACAGTCACTTCTCAAGGAAAAGTTTTAATGTTAACTTTCCCTTTCTAACTTACAATGCCAAATGAGTTTTCAGAGTTTTGCAGAGTCAGTTACTTTATTCTAGTTCCTTTCCTGTGACTCAGGGCTTTACAGACACAGTATGGCACCCAGATGCCTGATTACGCTGCCTTTTGCACGTCCCCACTTTAAACAACATCTTCTGCAACACTGGGGCTTAGCACATCATTTCTGATGTATATGAAATAACCAACAAAGAATTTATGTGCAAACTATGACTGCGATAAATTAGAAGCTTATTTAAGTTTTCACAAGCCTGTTGTATGCATTTATGCCTAAACTAAATAGCTTAAAGAATGGGCTGGTTTTCTTAACCATCAACTAAAGCCTTTCCCAGTGATGTATTACAATATCTGGAACTGATTCTTTTTTTTTTTTTTTAATTAATGGAGGTCCAACAAAGATATAAAACTAACATTGCTTGACTGAATCTCCAATTTCTTCTAATAAGATCAAGTAGCTCTCCAAATAGCACTCCTTCAGACAGGAAAATGGATCACAAAAATAGTAAAAGAAAAATAACCAGTCTTTGATTTTGGTAATCTACATAAATGCAGCATAAGTGATTTTTTTTAGCTCATAAATCTGTTGTACAGATAACGATAAACACATTTTAGATAGATGTTGGGGTGAGGACAGAGAGGCAATGGAATGGCCATGCAGTTGGAAACATGTCTGGATTTAAAAATGGACAAAATTTCAAATGTCATGCATGTCTGTTCTCCCAAACAAAAATTGAATGACCAAATAAAAAGCAAGACACATGACCATTGCCGGTGAACACACGGCGTTATCATTTCCCTGAAGTTTCATCAAGCAAATATGGCATTTTTGAGAGACAAAAAGATCAAGGTTGAAGATTAAAGGAAGCCGCATTTTGAGGTAAAATGAAGGAAAATATAGGACAAGAAGAATGGAAAAGAACCTTTTAAATAAAAGAAGCAAAGAAATAGGATTGAGTCTTTAAAAAAAACAAAGGTCTAGGGCTGAGGGTACAGCTCAATGGTACAGCACTTGCTTATCATGCCTGAGGTCCCAGGCTCAATCCTCAGAACTAGAAAAATAAACGAACAAACAAAAATGCCCAAAATCTCTATTGCCAAATTACTTATTTTTACTTACATTTTCTGGATATTTAGAAAATTAAATTTTGTTTTTGTGAATCATACAATTATACTTACAAGCTACGTGTAAATTTCTAATGTAGCACTGAACACGTGTTTTAGCAGGTATTAAAACTGTCCGGTACTGCCTCTAGCTCACAGCATCATAAAAATACCCAGTTCAGACTGAGTCTAGGGACAAAGATTGCACAGCACCCCCTCTAGTGAGGGGGACTTGGTGCTCACAGACAAGCTGGCCCAGATACTCATTCTCACAGTCAGCGAAGAATTAAACACTGGCCCACAATGCTAATTAACACAAATCTCAGAAACACAACTTCTTGAATAACAGTCCTGATAAAGTCATATTATTAATCCGGCAGCAAACGAGAGGCATGTGAGCACCTCAAGTCGCTCAAGCTGGATGAATTCAGTATTGCATGATTTCAACTCGCAGAGTCATGTCATCGATTAACAAGGAAAAGGCTCTGTCCCGTCGAGTTTCACGCCAAAAGGTACAAAGGCAGGTGAACTGGGCACAACAGTTCTGAAGGTTAAACACACAAACAAACAAACACTGAGACTGATACTTTACAAAAGATCTACGGATCAGAGCAGTTCAGAGGCTGAATGAGTGACAAAGAGATTTCTGTTATTTCAAAACAAAAACAACCAACCAAAACTATTGCCAAGATGTAGAAAGAGCCAGAAGAAAAGTTTTTGGAACAGAGTAATAGTACTGGTATTAACAGTGTTGCAAGAATCAGATGAATGTGAAAACACAGAAAATGCAATCTACAAAGAAAGTCAATTTGTGGGAGAATATTTAGAAAGCTCAAGGGCTAGGAAGGACCCAATGATCCTTTCAGAACAGAGGAGGTCATTTTAAGGATGGCATTGACCAATCAGTCTTCATTTTCACAAAAGCAGAACTGGATTGAATGAATTTAAATTACAGTAATCGTCTGGGGAAGAACATCCTATTCACGAGTGTGAAGGAACCCTGGGAAAAGGCAGTGTGGAAGTGTATTCTTCTCTCATGGCTCTTTCAGAACTCTCAAAGGGGCTCCCAGCCAGCAGTGGACCAAGCAAGGTGCCAGAGACGAGCAGTGCCAGCAACTCCTCACTCTGTGCTATTTTAGCTATTGTGTGAGCTAAAAGTTAGGTGGGAATTCCAGGGGACAAAAATATCTCTATTCTGAAGTTCAAAATGAGGCATGCCCTGAACACAAATTTTACTAATCCTTCAGTATTAAAACTGAAAACCATTTTATCATTTGAAAATAAGGACTTTCTTCCTTGCTATCCATGGAAGAATAGGAGAGGACATTACCAAGTGTCAGTTGCTCTGTTTAAAAAGATAATACTTGAGTAAAACAAATGAGCTCTAATTTATGTTTTCCATGTTAGACTTAAGAACTTTCTGCTTGCCCCTACTAATAAAAGAAGTGCATTTCACAGTGTCTTCCAGTTGTCAACTGGTGACTGGTGATGACACACTTTCTGTGAACTCGTTCCTATTGTTTTAATTAACTGAAAGACTAGGTGTCTCTTTTTGAGGGTGAAATGTCCTGTTTTGAATCAACCGCTTTAAGGTAAGTGATGTGATAGCTGGGCATCAGGACAGTCACGCCCAGCAGGTAGCCTGACCCACCCCTGTATCCTAGAAGCCCCTCTGGATCAGCTTCAAGGCTTAGTTTTAATTAAAAATTGAACACTTTCAATGGAGAAGAAAACCAGTGGAAAAGGAGGAGACAGGCCTAGGAAAGGAAGCAGAGTTAGAGGCTGGAGGTGACAGTCAAATGGGCCTGAAGTGATGAGAGGAAGAGAGGGGAGGAAGCCAGCTCCACAGAACAAAGGCCATAATGCTTGACTGCACATCACAGAAATGACAAGGCCGTCCGCACGAGCATCCTTGTGACTCACAGACTTCTGGTGGATTCTCAAGAGAACCCTTTTAGTACAGCGGTCCACTGTCGCAGCCCACTTCCTCTTTGCCTCCTCATCCTCCTCCAGCAGGCACCGCCTCAGGTCCTGCTTCTCAGCCTTGCTCAGGGTCCTGTCTGAGGCAGGCCGCACTAGCTGGGTCAGGTTCAGGTGGCTGTAGAGGCTCCGCTCCACCACGTAGGTGACATTGAACTCGCTGACCGTGCGCCCGCGCCCCCTCCTGCTGGGGAAGCCGCAGCCGCCGCCCCCCTTGGGCTTCTGCCGGGGCAGCTGCAGGTCGCAGGTGGTGCCGTTCACTCCTTTTCTGGAGGGACGCTGGCAGAGAAAAGCTCTGGAACAGGGATAATTAGTATCCGTTTTCTTCAAGCGGATTTGCTTGCGGACACTCTGAACCTCCTCCAGGGACACCAGAAAGTGGTGCCTGCGCCGATGGTTGTCATAGAAGAAAACACCATCTGTACTTACCCCGTGGCTCAGAGACCCGAGCCCCTTCTTCATCTCCCCATCTGTGAGGGATCGGGATACTTTCTGGGCTTTATCTTCCTCTGGATAGGAGAAGAACGTCCCCATCTTCTTGGGGGGCTTAATTAGGCCCCGACTCTCTCCTTTGCTGAAGGTTTTAACCAACTTCCGGCCAGCTCCCCAGGTATCCAGGCTGCTGGATGATGGAGATGTGGTGAGAGAGTCTGAGTCATCTTCAGGAGGTTTCTCTGGGGAGCCATCAAAGAAAAATGGCTTCTTGTGCACTCCAGAGTAAAGGGCAGCCCTTTCATCCAGGACAGGGGAGTTGTCAAACATGTGCTCCTCCCCACCTGGAGGGAAAAGCAACAGTCTCTGGTGAATGTGCCTCCCACACATCTTTCATTACACTCCCTGCCCTGCAAACACAAGCGAGTACACCCAGAAACCAGTGCTCCCCTCTTCACAAACACACCTCCTACTTAAATATGCACATAGTGGAAATAACCGAACTGTGCAAACGTAAGGTTTCAGGTCAGCTTAAGGTAAAAGCTGTGATGTGTTTGCTTCTACTTTCAACAGCTTTGTAGTCCAAACAATTCTCAGGCCTATAAAAAATGCCATGTGCAAAGTCAAAGCCAGTCCTTTCACGATTGGCCTTAGCTTTTCAAGATAATTACCTCCCCACTTGGTAAATGCAATCCTCAGAAGCTAGGAATCAGTCTTTTCCCCCTTCTGAAAGGCCTCACTTTGTGTTGGCTCTGGTGGCTTTTTATAGTCGGAGCGTGATAAATGCCATGTGGCTGACAGTGACTTTTTTTTATTGGTACATATGCCATTTAAGTGATTAAATCTCTAAGAGAATCTGGGTGGGGAAACACCATAAAGAGTTATACTTGCAAATGTGATTGACAAATGGTCTCCAGTTGACAGGACAAACACAAAAAGTTAGGGAACTGGGTGAGCTCAGTCAGATACTGCCATCCATCAGGCCCTGGTGGAAGTAGCGAGGGCATTTAAGGGCCTTGACACGCAAGCAGCTCAGAGTATTCCACTCTGTCTCAAGGATTCCAGCCCATGAAGCTCTCTCTGGAACCCAGTAGCGAGCCAAGCCTTCCGGAGCTCAGTGGAAAGGCCTGGACTTGCTGGCAAGAAAACTGAGTTCTTTTCTGCGTGTGTTATGTGAACAGATGTGAGAGAAGAAGTAGGTCAAGCTGTGGGTGTAGTGATCCCAACTGGCTGTGTCCCCTTAATTTAAGGAAACTTTGGAGCTCTGCAGCTTTCCACCAGCTGAATAGCAAAGAGGAAAAAATACAAAGTTTCTTGGAACAGATGGACAGCATTAAAAGGGGTGCCAGTGCGTGGTTAAATGTCAGAGAGAAAGAAAGAGGGAAGCTCAATGCAGGGGGAGGAAGGTGATGGGAATGGTAGCAGTCCTTTAAGACTCTAAAATTGGCTATCTTTTCTAACTGATGGGAATTACAGCTTCCAATACATGAAGAAAAAGAAACAGCTGCTATGAACTCCAACCTAAAATCAGCCTTATATTCACGCCCAGGAGATGGTGGTGAGGAAAGGAGAGAAGTGGAGGACAGTCATAACTACGTCTAGTTTTGAAATTCACTGCAGAACTGTTCAGGGATTTTTTTAAGGAGAGTTTAAGAGCAGTGTCCAAGGAGCTGGCAGGATATGGCGAGACCACAGGCAGTGCACAAATATCACGGATGCCTCCTGCTCTTTACTCAGGACACCTGTCTAGTAGGTACTGAGACCAAGGGTCCTCATGTGGTTGGAGGTAAATATGGCAACTCTCCTAGAGAGACTCCACTCTCCACTTCCAGGAAGTAGTGTCTGGGCCAAGACTGGAAGTAGAGTCTGGTGGCAGAAACAGAGAACTTCTACATGAAAGCAGTCCATGGTCATGACCTTTGTTCAGCTCAGATGTCCTGGGAATGTGCCAAGACCCTTAGAAGCCACGATGCTGAGGGGTTTCAGGGGTTTCAGTGGGACTGCTCTCAACATTCCAGGGATCTGTCACTCAGCAGTGGTCTGAGAGGGTGTCTTCTGGATTGTGTTTAGGGTTGTCATCAGTGATTCCAACACTTCTGAGTCACATCTGGGTCTGGAACCAGCCAGGGCACGCATGTCTATGACATATGTGGCTCTGTTTTTTGGTTCTAGAAAGGTGGTGGTGGCTGGTAAGGAATTTGGAGGGAAATCTGGTGAATGCCTCCGAAGAGGCTTTATCAGCCTGAGCTGAGACAGACTGTTTGCAGGTGGGCTTTGCTGCTGGTGCCCGGCTTGTGGGTCTGAATGCCCAGCACTGTCCTGGCTTTTTAGGATTTAGAGGGTTACTTCTCCATTCCTCTCATGGACAGGGACAATGATGCTACGGAGGATTGACAAGATAAGTCACTCCATCCTCTTTGGTGTAATTTGCTTCATATGGTGGCCTCTGTCTATCCTATGCAGCTGAGATCAGCACACCCAAGGAAAGGTGATTCTGGCAGGAGGATGGAGGTGACTTAATAGCAAGAACACAGCTTGTATATTCTCTGGATTCCAACCCAGGCTCCTCCTTCACCAGCTCCATGTCCTAGGGCAATTATTGCCTTCTCTCAGCCTCATCAGTAATGATGCCCATCTGTTTTTATCTACTATCCCCAACAAGGTGACTCTCAGAGTAATATTTAATGGAAAGAGACATGCAAAGGTACTTTATAAGCTGAAAAGCATTGCACAGAAGCTGATGATTAGGAATCAGGTAATATGAACTGGTGAGCTGAGGGCAGGAGTGTCACTTCTAGGGACAAGAAGCAGACAATGAACGCAGACATGTGTTAAATACTATCCAGGGCCACTATGCCAGATACAGACCCAAGACTCAAGTTAGGAGGGTTATACTAGGTGAAGAGCTCTAACTGTCCTGGCTTCCAGTGCAGACACAGGATATCCTAGAAGGAGGAGTTAAGGTTGCCAGGATTGAATTCTGGTTGGCTGGCTGGGTGAACTTGAGTAAGTTACTTAGCTTCTTGTGTCTTACTTTCTTCATTTGTGAAAGGATGATGAATAAGGACCTGCCTCTGGTGGGCCCATTCTAGGGATGACCTATTAAAAGGGAATATAAATTCTAAAGTATTTAGGGAAGTGCCTGACTCATAGAATGCTCTCAATAAATGTAACTGTTATTCAGTTACAGCTTAGTATTGGCACAGGCAGGCAGGAAGTCAGGGACAAGATCGAATTTCTAAAGTCCGAGGGCATAGAGAAGAAGGGATCTAGACAACTGAGGTACTCTCTCCAACATACCAGTTCTTTAGCCAATGAGAGTTCTGTTACACAAGGGTTGGAGGGAGTTTGGGGCTAGCAGGGTGTTGTGAGATAGCCCAGAGTGAATATACACACACACCTGGGAGCTCTCCTGTTGATATGGTCAAGTCAGTCAATGGTACCTCAGCTGCCCAACTCATCAGACACTAGAGTGTGAGTTGTAACCCACGCTCTCTAAGTCCATCTTCTACCTGGGAAGCCTAATTCATACTCAGATGAATTCATACCCCGAAGTTCATTCAGTGACTACTTTTAACCTCTTTTGGGTACCTCTTTTGGTATAATGCTTCCTTTTTTTAAAACTAGATCTCTCAGAGATAAGTAACAATTTAATCTGCATAAATATGAAAATTAGGGATGTCTGTATGTTCAAAATGCTACTGTAGTACAGCAGCTGCTCTCAGCCACTTGACTCCTGCATGGGAAGGGCTACTGGTGATGGACTCAGTAACTGGCACTTCACCCATTTTATCTCATTTACAAACAAGACCCAACAATTGGTTTGTCATAGCTGAGATTTGAGTTTAGCAAGTGAGTGTGAGGTTTAGCTTAAAATTGTGCCCTCAAAGCTGAATGCTGGCGATTCCATGTGGTTCTCCCCAACAGGACCAAATGGCACTCTACGTACAGATATCAGAAGACCTGCAGTGATATAAGGAAATTGGAGTATATTCCACAGTGGAAGCCATGGCTGACAGACAGGCATTAAAACATCCCAAAGTAAAATCAACATCGCTCTTTAATGTAAACAGAATTACTGTGCAAGAGACACTCAAATGCAACTCTAGAATTAAAGATAACTCCAACTTTATGAAACTAGCCATAAAGCCGGTCTCTTTGACAACACCCTTTTTGCCTTCTCTCTCCCATTCTTCCACAGTACCCTCCTCCTCATATACTTTTCTAGAATATTTAAGCCAATAAACAATAACACACAATTAGGAAGCATCATGTTAACAAGAAACCCTTATCATTTGCAAGTAAGGAAAAATTCAGTTCCTTACTTATATAGAAAAAAGGGCCTCTAAAATAATAATTTAAAACCTATGTGTTAAAAATTTGAAATTCCTCACAATATAGATGTGACTTTTTTTTTCTTAGAGGCCTACTCGTTCCAGAATTTTTTCCAATTAATTTATTACCATTTTCCAAACAGGAAAATTTTCTGGAGGGTCAGGGTTTGAGACGGGGTCTCATTATGTAGCTGGTTCTGAACTCACAATCCTCCTGTGTCAGCCTCCCAAGGGCTGGGATTATAGGCATTACAGGCCTGTGTCACCATGCCTGGCAACATTACTCTTTTATTTGACCTTTTTGGGGAGAATTTTATAAGATGCTGCAAATACATGCTATATAAAGGGAGTGAATAAGGTTCAGATTTAAACTATCATAATTACAACTCAGTGGTTACTATGCATCATGGAAAGCCCCAGCTGATGGTCTTTTGACATTAGTGCTTCGTCTTCTGAACCAGCAATATAGCTCCTAAAGATCCCTTTAGAATTCAAGGCCCTTAAAGTCCCATTTGAATTGAGCCTTGAGGTTGTTTACTGGAAGAACAAGTCATCCCTTGGGATTTGAAGGGAGATCAAGTGCCTTGATGGTCAGATGTTTGTCTGAGTCCAGTGCATGTGCATCAAATCTGCACTCTACTCACGATGCAAGAACTACAGTCCTCTTTGGAATGGAGGCTTATGTAAGAATTTAGTAGATTTATGTGAAATGGTATGAGCTCATAATTAAAGCTATAACACATCTTGAGAAGATGTCATTGTCACATATTAGTCATTTCCACTGTCTGTCACATTTAAATGATTAAGCACCGGATAAGCTTGATCCCCAGAATCCTTCACTCCCTCAGCCCCGGACATCGCCCTGCTGACGGGCAACCCAGTTCTGTCATCCCTAGCCAGCACTCAATCCATCTCCCAGTTGAATTCATATTCTGTTTCCACTGAAAAACTGAGCCCAAGTAGTTCCTTTTGGAAGAAACAGGATGGAGTTTGCTTTTTTACCTTCAGTGCTGGGCTTTTTCATTTCTTCCACCCTAATTAGTTTCTTTCTGACTCTGCGAGTGGAGTTTACCAGCTTGTGTAACCTCTTAAACTTCACCGACTCCTCGGTCTCATCATCAGATTGTTCTCTTGACTGGCAAAGAAACAGAGGAAAAGTTAATCAGGTAATTGTTCCCGAGCCTTGTCCTTGCGACCGATGCTGCTGGCCTCTCTGCCAGACTAAAAGCTCTGCCACTAAACTTGGGGCACCAGCATAATTACCCAACAAAACCCCACATACCATCTTAAGTTCTAATTCCATGTAGAATTAAGTCCTAGGCACGAAACACACATCCTTGCCCTAGACTGGAGCCTTTGTGTCATCAGACTACTTCCCTGTCTCTTTTAGGACAACCCCGGCAGGACTGTCTCTGAACTGGCCCTATAATTCCAGTTACACTGCTGTGGCTTGGGTCAGGCTCTCTCCTCTGTCTGGCCCATCAGGACTTGCTGTTGAACGTGGTCAACTACTTCTCCAAACCAAAATCTATTGAGTTTGTCCAGTCCTTCCCCGAAAATCAAAAACAGCAGGCAGGAAAGGGGAAGCGATGCAAAAAACCTTCTCCTGTCCCATTTGTGTGGACCGCCTGCCACATCACAACCACCCCTTCCACCTCCCCCAGCTCCTTCTGAAGGCGCACAAGGCGAGTGCGAGGACAGCCCGCATTCCTCCAAGGGAGACAAGGGAAAAAGCTGACCTTTTCAGCCATACAGTACACTCCATATTCCCCAGCATCCCATTCCGTTCTGCAGTGATTCAAGTATGCTCTGGCCCAGCTGTTTTCTCTCAAGTATCAAACATTACAGCGAGAAAAAAAATTCTCCCTCCACAGCAATGACCCAGGCTAAAAACAATCCTTTCCTTGTGAACAAAATGAGGGTTTAGTTTCCAAGTCAGCTCCAACATTCAATATGCAGCTTCCTCTGCAGTATCTGTTCAAAATGTAGAAAAGCAAAAGAAGTTTCCCACTGGCTGAGTGTACTGCACAGGCTGGGTGCTGGGTGCTGGGGTCCCCTTGGGAGTTAGGAGCTTCCACACCCTGTGCAGCTCGTGAGCGAGTCCAACTAATCCGCACATCCTGACACCAGCTTTCTCCCATGTCCTCAAACTAGTTCATGACAGAGCAGAGATGACTCAAACCAGAAACAAAACAACAAACCACATTTCTGAATGCAAGACCAATGTGCAGACTTTTTCTTCCCTGTGAAAAGCTCTCATTAATCCTCATTTTATAGGCAATAAAATAGGTATGGAAGAGTTAGCAGAGAATAGCTCAAAAGAAGAGAGGCAGAGATCTGATTCATTACTTAGGCATAAAAACAGTGCATGTTGCGGGTGCACAAGTATTTCTTGGCACTATGGTGCTCTCTACGGGGATAAACACAACAATTTTCTGGGCTTCTTCTTGCCCTAGAGCTCACAGCATGGAGCCACTGGACTTTTCCCCAGTGACTATGTACAAACCATTCACTCACTAATGATTAATTAGTACAAACCTAGCAGCAAGACATCAAGACAGGGGTACTTCTCAGACTTCCCATCTCTGAAGTGTATCAATATCTACACCCAGTTTCTCTAAAATTCCTGGATGAAATGCAGGATGGGGATTTCAGAATTAGAGCTAACTACTGACTACCTGGTAAAGATGAACGAAAACTGGACCTCAGTGTAATGGAGGAGGGCAGTTGTGTTGGGCAATTAGGCTTGGTGCATTTGACTCAACTGTAAGAGATTAAAATAAAATAGTAAGTGTAGTTTCAAATACATAATGGTACTGTCTGTTTTGAATATCATTTTTACTTGGTTGAATTGTTGATGTGTGATGAAATGATCCGAGTGGTCAACCAGAGGCATGAGATCTTGGTTAACCCACATTCTGGGTAATGGGCACCTGAATAACCCACAGAGCATGGAATTACATGCAAACATTTAAAAACACAGTGCCCTCCCCATGCAGCATGAGCACTGAGTAATTCTCACAGAAGAACCAACTGTATACTACATAGTCTTTAGACAGCCAGTGAGAAAAACCTAAGATATATCTCTAACCCTGACATTATAAAATCTGAAGTCAGGTGAGAATTGAAATAAACACAGGTTGTGATCAAGACAAAGGAAGCTATAATACCAGGTAAAAATGAGTGATACTTTGTACCTAGTTTGTTGGTTGGTGGTAGTGATAGTTTGTATATGTGGAGGAAATAAAGAAGTGAAAAAAATGGGACTTAAAAATTGGTAATACAAAAATCTTACCCTACAAACATCTGTAGGAAAGGTGTGCTGCAGTGAACATTCTGAGGAGAAAGGAAAATAGTGCCACCGGGACAACAGACTGGATGACAAGGTCCCCTCATAAAGTCCTACTCTCCTCTCTCTGCCCAGGTTCACTGAGGTGAAAAATAACACATTCATAATAACAAAAGCAATTATTTAATTGCTTTTACATGCTCCATCTACTTTTTGAGAAACATGAGCAGTTTAGAACTTCGAATTGATGTTATTTTTATTTTCTTAAAACAATGATGGTTTGGGAAGTGTTTGCCATTGACAAACCACAAGCCATGGCAACCAAGAACTTCCTCTGGTTTATCATGCTTTGGACATTAGACAAGTTCAGTGCAGCACAACTTATATGAAGACGAATCTGAGATAAAGTAGAACTCATTCAAGAAATTTATGTGTGTACAATTATATAATTGTATAATTAATATGCATTAATAAAAATGTTGGAAGAGAAGTGTGTGTGTATGTGTCCTTATTAAGTTAAAAAAAAAATTCTTCTCTAGTGAGCCTGGGAGTTTCTTGAGTTCCACAGTGCATCTCAAGGATGCCTTTTATCGATGGAGAGGGGTTCATTTCTCACTTCCTCCTGAGTCCCAAGGAAGAGAGTGGTCAAATATTTGCCTTTAAGAGAGTCTCTCTGGCTGTTTTAACATAAAGATACTATAAAAGGCTGCATTTCTTCTAAACTGAGTAGTAAAGCATAAATTCCTTATGTCCCGTCTCTTTTTTCCAAATACCGTGTGCTACTTCCCAAATGCTAAAAATAGCATATTATGTCTTTTTATTCAGGAAATTCACTACCAGGGAGAGGAGTTTGAGAACTTTTAAAATTAAGAATCATAAAAAAAAGAGTGAATATAATTTTTAAGTTAAAATACTATAAATAGTTTTAAAGAAACCTTCCTATCTGAAGGAAGTTTGCAGAAGATAAAGGATTTCTACATTGCATACAAAACAAATGATTCTACATATAAACTTAGAACTATCACAGAAGAGGTTTTGAGTAAATCAAAGTGTAAAAATAATAGTATATGTTCACACTTATTCAAACAGAAGATGGAATTCCCCCCATCTTGTCCCCCCTGCTTTAGTTGGAGTTCATGAAAGTTTATTAAAATACAGTTTAGTTTGATCATGCTATAAGCGAGAAGGTGACTCAATCAACGGTAAGCCACCCCATCCCAAACCTTCAAGAGAAAAAGGCAACTTCTCCCACCTAAGGATGTGGAAAAGTACCTTTACGATACTGTAAATAGAAACATTTGATTTCTAACCTCCCTCCTGCCGATTTTTCCACCACAAAGCCCATATGGCTCAACTTTTAATTACTTTGGCTAATGCTATATGTAGTAATTCTGTGGTGAATGCTTAAGTGTTTCATTTCTGGTTTCCATAGCAACATTACATCAGATTGCAGACAGCTGGCTCCACAGTTTTAAACCATAACAAATTGACCAAGCCAAGACACAAAACTATAGCTGCTTTAAAGAGATAGCACACCATTCAGCTGCCAGGGCACTGAATGGGGAGCCTGCAGGGCCATTTGGCACGAGCAGGAGGGTGGAGCCTCTTTCCTCCCCAGCTTCTTTTGGAACAAGTGCATCCTTGACACATCTGTGATGTTCTAATGGGAAAGCCACGGAGCCAGCGTGGAGAAGTTTTTATGACACAGCTACATGCAGGATGATCGGAAAAAGGGAACCAAATTAATCACATCTGTAAATATGAAGATTTGTGTGCTGTGCACACTGAAAGCATCCCCTCACTGCTCAATGAAAATCTGTCACTGCTGCCTGCTGCAGATACTGCTATGGACCCCATAGCCAACAGTGCTGACAGCTCTACAAGCAGAATAAGTGCTTTTCAAAAGTCATAGGGTAATGAATTTGCTGGAGAAAAGGTGAAAGCAAACTTGCAAGAAGCAACTAGATGCTTGAGGGACAGCTTGAGACCACACTGAACACAGGTTGCAGGAGCTTCCCAGCTCCAAAGCCACAGAACACTGTCACACTTCACACCAGATCAAGTCACCTTATCTCCCCCTGTCCCCCCAAACTCCCCCTCCCCGTGCCACATAACACTGTAAGATATATAACAACTTCTACCAAGTATTTTTCAATTGCAAATGTACTCGTTTGTGAATATCATACAATGGTCTCTTTTTAAGCCAATCTTAAAAGTGAAGAGGACAATCAGTTGTAAACTTATGAAAACACAATATGCAGCACTGTTTGAATTCCCACGAAAAGAAAAGTCAGCACAACTCACAACTGAGCTCCAACTCACACTCGCTCATTCGCTCGCATCCTCACAATAACTTTTGCTGTCCTCCTCCAGCAGCTCTGCCTGGTTACCGGGTGAGCCCGCCGAGGCAGAAGGCTCGGGGTTCCAAGGCAGGGGAGAAGGGCAAATCTGGAGGACTTTAAGGAGAAGAGAAAGTCGCAAGAGCAACTCCAAAGCTATTTCTTGAAGAGACAGAAAAATTTCCCTTTTGCAGGAAGGCGATGAGCTCCACTTACCGGCTTCGGCATTTAGCAGACGTGCAGGGCAGTTTAGAAAAGCTCCGGTCCCCCTGTCCCCTCCCCAGTCTGAGCGAGGCTCACTCCTGATCCGTCAGCCCTGTGATCTCCAAGTCAGGACCAGGCACTCCTGCGAGCATGGCCTCGGCAGTTACATGATCAGGCAGGCTCCCCCGTCACAGCCGACATCCAAGGACAAGAACGCAGACACACTGGATTCAATTAGCCTCTCTCTGCCTGTGCCCGATTCCCCAGTCGCTCGCTAACTGCAGGACTTGTAAGAAAGGCATA